TGTGTGCACATGTGTACATATTATAATGGCCATTGTAGTAGACATACACATGAAAATTTGTGTGTATACTTTTTAATCAAAATAGATTCACTATATACTGTTTTGTAAGCTTTTCCATTCAGTAATATCACAAACTTTTTCATAGGCCTGGTAAAAAATATATATATAGCAAGAGAGAGAAAATCTACATATCTATACATATATATACTCATCATTCCCTAAAGCCTAAATAGCATCTTACTATATGGTTACACCTATTTAACAAATCCTCGCTTACTGACTTCTAAGTCATTTCCATTATTTTTTATATCAAACAATGCAGGACCTGTCATTTCCTTAGTATGAGGAATTTTTGACTCAAGATTATACGAGAATATTTTCTTAAATGATTTTGTCATTTTTACTAGAGTCCTCCAGAAAGTTTATGTCAGCATGTGAGTGGCTGTCTCTTCCTACTTATGCCAATATTGGTATTATCGTTCTTTATAATCTCCGCTATTCCCATAGGCCAAAAGTAAAATGTTAACAATATGTGCTTTCATTTGTTTGCTTTCTAGTGGTTGGGGAAAAAAGATTTTTTTATGAATATTAATAAATCATAATTCTCCTCTAGTTTATTTCCTCTTTATATCCCTGGCCCATTTTCTTTTTTCCTAATGGGAAGTTTGTCTATCTTGATAATTTCTTAATGGATCCTCTATCTTAAATGCTGCAAAATTTTTTTCTTGATTTATCATTTGCCTGATTCATTTCTGCTGTTTTCTTTTGCTCTCTATTAAAAAAATCAACCTTTTTCTTCATTATTTCTGCTTATGATGCCTTTGAAAGTTATCTCTCCTGTACCCCTAGATTATATAAATATCCCCTACATTTTTAGAAGAGTAGGTTTCTTAAATAACTTCATATTTTCTTGGAAATTTTCTCTCAGGTATTTAAATTCTCTAGGAAGCATTTATTAGCTAAATTGAGTTTTAGTATTAAATGTAAATGAATTATTTCTATCTCTTATTTTCAGAGCCCAATAACTTCTGTTTAGAAACTGTCATTAGGGCAATGTCGTTTTTGGATTATCGTTATGAATATTTTAAAATTGAATGGGTAAGATCTTATGGTTTTATCAAATTCAAGCTTCTCTTTCTACTTTAGGTTGGCAGGTTTGACTGTTCCTCTGCACCAGACATCTGTAGTAATCTCTATGTTTTCCAGCCATGTCTAGCAGTATTTAAAGGACAGGGAACCAAAGAATATGAAATTCATCATGGTAAGAAAGGAAATAATCTTCGTTTTCAAATAGAAATTTTCTAATTATACTTTTTGCCTTGTTTATATTAACATGCTTATTGTAAATAGCTTTGCTCTTATTTATTAGTAAATATGAGGAAAGATTTTGAATTACATATAGTCATTTTATTCTTTTTACTCTTCTTTTAAAAATAAATGTCTTTCGGGCCGGCCCGGTGGCGCACTGTGCTAGTGCGCCACTTGGGAAGCGCGGAGGCGCTCCCGCC